TGCCCGACCCCCGAATCGGCCGTACCCTGAGCGTGACTAGGGGTGGCATCGAACCTCCCAATCCGCCCTGCTCTGTGCATGACAGGGGGCGGCGACCCTTCCCCAATCGGCCCTGCTCTGAGCCCAACCGGGGGCTGCACCTAGGGATTGGGCCTGCCCTCTGCCACCCAGGAGCAGGCCTAAGCCAGCGGGTCGTTATCTCCTGAGGGGTCCCAGACTGCAAGAGGGCACAGGCGGGGCTAGGGGACCCCCTCTCTTCCCCCCCCCCCCAGTGCACAAATTTTTGTGCACCGGGCCTCTAGTTAAGTATAACAAGCAATTTTTTAAAATAGATTTTACTGGTTTCAGAGAGGAAAGAAGAGGGAGAGGTGGGTCAGCTGTCTCCTGCATGCCCCTCCCTAGGGATGGAGCCCACAACCCTGACATGTGCACCAACCTAGAATGGAACCCTCACCTGTCAGTTCCTAGGACTATGCTCAATAAGTGAGCAACGCTGGTACGGCACAAAAGATTAAATTTGTTATTATGATTCAGCTTTTGTTTTACTTATTATATATTGTGTTTAGTATATTTTCTTATAGTTTAAGGGCATATAATATATCTTCAGTAATATTAATAGCTGTGATACATATATGTTAGCTTGACAAAATCCTATTTTTATTATTAATTACTGCTACTATTAGCAGTAACATTCATTAGATAGGCCACAGCAGTGTTTTTGGATGGCTGACTATTTATGATGTTTGGGCTGTTCATTTTTGAAAAGTCTAATTTCTATTGTAGATGAGGGAAGTGTAAGAAACAGACACAGATGTCCAACCATGGGTAGGCAACTGATAACATAAGATACCTTCCAACACTGTGGGAGAGAAAATTTAAAGGGCCATCCTATCTAATAATAGACAAACATGGTAATTGACCGTACCTTTGCTATGCCTCCCATTGGCTAATCAGCACAATATGCAAATTAACCACCAACAAAGATGATGGCTAATCTGCATACTGCAGGTAGGGCGGGACAGCATGAACCA